TCAACTATTATTACTCAAACACAACCACTACAAAAATTCAACAATTGCTACTCAAACTCAACACAACCACTAAAGTAATTCAACTATTATTACTCAAACACAACCACTACAATAATTCAACAATTGCTACTCTACTACTATGTGAATAAACTGTTTGATAAATTATATAGTGGTTATTACTTCGCCGCCCGGCGACGCTCACTCATAATAACTTCTATATGTTAATAAATAGCACAGATTAAAAATTAACTTTTAAAAATGCAGAATACATCAAAAATAGTTAAAAAGCTAACACTAAGTCACTATAAACCAAGCTTATTGTTAAAATATTATTTTAATTTGTCTGAATTTTCAGGCGCTAAAGGAGATGATGAAGGAACACGGATCTATCACCTGCCCCAAGACCAAGGAGGTGTTCTGCATGAAGCGTGTAGAGAAAGTCTATGTCATGTAAAACTGCACATTTATATAAATATATGCCATATATTAGCATTTAAAAACCTATATTTCATATATTTTTTTCAACATACTTTGTAACCCCGTACTAAGACTCGGGTTTGTTTAAATTTTATTCTTAAGATTAACTTCATGCTGATTGGCTTTATATTTTTGTAGAGTTATTATTGTTTAATTCAACGTTTCTTGTATTAAAAAAAACCCTTATTTTAACATATAAATTGAGTAGAATCTCTGTTTTTTTTTTTTAAATCATAGTCAACTACTTGATGTGAAATTCAAAATGGCTGGTGCTGTTCGTCCATTTTGAATTCATTTATTTTAGTGTTATTTTATCTTTTAAAGTTTTAATAAAGGAATATAAGCTATCCTATTGTGTAACTTTGAAAAATAAATTCATATTGTAAAAATGTCTTTTATTTTATTCTCTTATTTTCAGAGCGCTTCTAATATGCAGTTTTTAGTAGTATAATTGAAAAATAGCTTTATTTAATAGAATAACCAACTTTGAACATACTTAAGTATACCTAATAAAGTTTAATTTGTTTCAATTTTCATAATTATCATGAACAAAGATAAATAATTCTAGTATTACTATGTCAAGTGAAAGTAAATCAACATACATTGATAAATGGATGTGCCGGAGGACTAATTTTATTCCTCTTCTCCTTACAGAAAAAAAAGAAAGGATGGGCAAAGATTAAAAAAACATAGAGTATGTATAGTTGATATATCACTTGAAACATTTTTCACATAATTCACCTAATATCACTAACGCTACCTGGTATCCAATACTCGAAATCGTTAAATAAATATTGAATCGTTGAAATTAAGTTACCGGTGAAAAATGTAGTTCCTTGGTAACTTAACAACTTCTATAACTTGAAAAAATAATATGTTCCCTTACCCTCAGAGCCCAAAACCTCTACAAAATAGACTCTTGATAACCTAAAACCTCTATAAAATAGAATATTTTGTGTTTCATTTGGACTTTAACTTATCGAGGTTCTACTGTATTTGTTAAACATCTTTGAGAAAAGGGAAATATCGATTACCTTATTCTCTGTCCACAGGAGAATTAATAGCAAGTTTAAATGGTTTACGATAATGTTAAAACTAGTTGGATCTGCGCAGTTGTTGCTTTGAGAATGTAAGAGAATTCATGATTTCAAAATTTTATTACCATAAAATAAGTTTTTACATGTTACAATACTTTTAAATGGCCATTATTATCACAATACATTTAGGACTACGCCATTCTATAACTAACAATATTGTTTATGTGGGAAGTAAGAGTATGTAATACAACAAATGAAGAAAACATATGTTTTTAACTACAAAAGCACTATAAATTCAGATATTTTACAACAAATTGACCATTATTAAGCCTTTTTTGTATCAAAACATTGAATTTAATATGTATTTGAAGTTAAAAACTTACATTTACAATAATCAAGTTACACAAATATATTATCACATTTAACATACAAGTAATTTGTACTAGAAACTAAGTTACTACAGTGGAGTTGTTATCACTATACTTAAAACTATATCAAATAATAATAATTAAACCAAAAACAAAACATCTAACTCTGAATAAAACATTTTCTATTTACTACTATTTGTGTTTGTATTTATCAAATTTCAGTTTATTTGAATATTAGGCCGTTTAAATATTTCTAATTCTTTTCAATGTTTTTAATGATTTTTTTCAATACAAATTTTGTCAATGATTATTATAGTTGTATTTACTTATTCATCACTCTTTGGCATGATATTGGTGGAATGACTATTACGCACCTATAACCCAGAGGGGTAAGCAGATATTGATTTAACATGAACATTAATGAAAAACATCAGTATATTCAAACTTAATTGTAAAAAATACAGCAATATTATTATTTTTTTTTTACATTTTATAAGAGTAAAATATATCGTTTAAGAGTAATTTAATTTTAATATAAAGATATAAGATTATTATATTATATTAGAAGAGTATAAGATATGACTTAATATTATGACTAACATATTTCTCACAGCAATGGATATACAAATTGGGTATCAAGCTTTTATCCCATTTGGGGTAGACACTAATTACTAAAGCAGATTTAATATTTTTATTGGTCTATAACCTACTTACTAACATGAAAGGATCAACTCAAAGATGTTAAAAAATGGGCTTTTATTGCCTAAACTGTACAGTTAGCTTCATGAATTTGTAAACATTTACAAAACTTTACAAAAATGTGTTATACCTTCAGTTTTAAAATATATGTATGCACATTCAATCTACACTATTATTATAAAGAGGATAGATTTGTATTTTTGTATGTATTGAAATAACTTAAACACTACTGGGCCGATTTCAAAAATTCTTGCACCATAAAAAACCTATGTTATCACTGAGTAACATAGGCTACGTTTTTACAATTTTTTTTTCATGTTTTCGAAGTGGCGAACAAAAGTAACATATATGAGGATGAAAACTGACACGCAACTGTATTTTGTATTTTGAAACAATAAGCATATGAAGGTTTGTCTTATTTTGTAAAACCATATCTTATTAAATGGATACATAGTTATGCAGCTAACTGTACATAGTTAATTCAGTTTTTTTTAGAGTTTAAGGATGACTAAATTAAAACATAGGTTATGTGAAAGAGGACATGTTTAAGATAGTAAATTCACATATAACAGGTGATAATCTATGAAAATGTAAATACAGTGCTGAGGAAAAGGTCAAGTAAGAGAAATGGAATTAAAAAAGTAGCATAGAATGGATATTTTTAGATGGTAAAACCCGGTTTTTTAACACTAGTTAAATCTATATAAAAATCTCGTAATGTAGTAATTGTTAAGTGAATTAACGACGTAATTATAAACATATTTAAAATATGTAATATTTTTTGCTGTACAGGAATTTGTATCAAAAATAATTTTTCAAGGCCAGTGTCTTAAATTTTAATTTTATAATTACATGAAGTTCAAATACTTCTACAAAAGCATTTTTTATGTTTTTGTATGTATTTTACAAATGAGACAATTTTGCCAAATTTAATTATTTAAAAGCCCAATAGTTCTGATAGTTCCAACTGAAAAGTTAAACAATTCTGTTAAAACTTGTGTAGGCAAAATTTTAACCACAAATTGAAACCAGTGAAAGTTTTGCCTACACATGGAATTTAAACTGGACAGTTCGTATTTTCAGTTCAAACTAAACTGAACATATGAAGCAAGTGTTAGTTGAAATTTATGTTAATGTACATACTTATTGCAATAATTATTTACAAAGTCTTATATTAAAAGACTTTTATAGTTTTCCTTAATTATTATATCCATTGTTTCTTGCTTTTAAATCTAAATTTTATTTATCTTATGTAGTACAATTTTTTTAATCAATACAAAGATTGTTTTTTACATTTCAATTATGTACATGAAATTGTGAAGCAAAAGATTAGCGTGGTATGGACATGTTATGTGACGAGACAATGGGGACATAAACCAGAAAGTGTAAAGATTGAATGTGGATGGCTACAAAGGAAGAGGAAGACCGAAGAAAGTATGGATGGATTGTGTGACAGAGGATATGCTTAAGAAAGGAGTGGATTCAGATATGATGGCTGATAGAGATGTATGGAGCAGCACATACTGTGCCTAATTACACAATTAAATTAAATTATGTACATGATTTTAGCTTGCAATTAGTAATTTATATTTTCAAAGGGTTTTTTATTCTTATTAATATATTTAAGAACATTTATTACATACCTCCACTTGTTATTTCACTCCGAAGCTTTTACAATTTTTTTTTTACTTATAACTGGATATTTCACTTAACACTTCACAAACACTAATTACTTTTTAAACACTTCATTTACACTTAAGTCACAGTTTCCAGCCTACTGGTCTACTGGTCTACTGGTCTATCCGAAGTACTTAGTCATGAAAGCCATGACAGCGATGCCAGCGAGCAGAGCTGCTAGATGCTTAGCAGACTCCTTCTTGTCATCCTCTCGCAGCAGGTCAGGCAGCACGGTGACCAGGGCTATGTGCAGAAACCCTCCTGCGGTGAATGGAGCTATCCAAGATGTCTTTGCCTCTGGAATTTATATAATATAATATAATAAAAAAAGTAAACATGTATACAGAAGTTATTTCCGAATATAGATGACTAGCCGTTGCCCGCGACTTAGCTTGCGTGTAATTTAAAAAAATAACAAAAAACACACCCTATGTCACTCACTGATAACATAGCTTTGAAATGGTGATAAATTTTTGGAAATGGCCCTAGCAGTTTTTGAGTTATTTCAATACATACAAAAATACAAATCTTTTTCTCTTTATAACATAAGTATAGACTAAATATAAATAAAACATGATGTCTTTTCCACTCTGAACATTTTACTACAGTAGGTTTCCATTGTTAATGGGAGAAAGAAGCCAAAAAAGTATAAATAAATATAATACCTATAGCATTTCTAGCTCCGCTGAAGACAACAGCTGTCATTGCTCCGATCAGACCTGCTGATGCTGTGGCCTGGAAAATAAGATTTTTATCACGATGTTGCACACTTAACCTTACTAATATTATAAATGCGAAAGTTTGGATGGACGTAAGTTTGTTACAGTTTTAGCCTGAAATGGATCTCGATGAAACTTGTCATACATTTTTACAGTGGTAGAGCCCTTTTAACATCTTCGCACGAATGAGTCAGCTCGCCCGGTGTAATACCACGACCACACAGAAGACAGGCGTGAAGTGGAAGTAATTCCGGATTTCGTGTGAGTGTGGTGCCGGAGGCCCAATTTTAGTCCCTTTCTCGTCCCAACTTTTTCTTATAAGAGAAGGATTGTATGGCAAAGTGGATTTGACGGTGGAGGAGACGCATAGGAAATATGTGCGTCTCCTCCTCCGTCGATTTAGGGTAGACAACGCATCTGCAATTGCGGATGTCTATGGGCAGCAGTCGCTTCGCCATTTTGGCGGATTTAGGTTGCCATTATTTTGTATAAAAAAAACAAAAGGGGTGTAGAGGATAGTCTGGAAGGACACATAGGCTATTTTTTTTATAATTCCGCGCTGACATGATTAAATTCATATGTTAATTGGTATGTAAATATTACCAGTTGTGCTTTAGCTGCCTCCCAGCGAGAGAAACCACTCTTCAATAGTATCGCGAAGTCGCCAACTTCGTGTGGAATTTCATGCACTGGAAACAAAATAAATCTTACTAATATTATAAATGCGAAGGTTTAGATGGATGTATGGATGTTTGTTAGAGTTTACAACGTTCATAACTTGGCATATTTCGATTAAATTTTGTATACATTTAAGGGATAGTCTGGAAGCACAAATAAACTTGATCCCGGAAATAGTTTCTCGTGTAATACAATTAATTTTGTTTTTTCATGTTTAGTCGATAATTCTGCAATAATTCAACATATCTTATTGAAATTTGGCACAGATATAAAACATAGTCTGGAGTAACAAATGGCATATGGTTCATCTCCTAAAAAAATTGGGTTTCCGAAGGACATGTAATTTTTTATTTTTTCGTATGTACTTTATTTAATTCTGCAAGGAGGAAATTGCTGACAACAAATAGTAAATAAAAATAAAGAAATATGGTGAAATATAAAACCATCTTGAGGTTCATTACATAACTAAACAGTGTCTAACCATGTTTTTTGGTATATTTTGTTGTTAAATAACTCACCTAGTATAGCAAAGGTCGTCAGCAAACCAACTCTAAAGCCCACTAAGAAAGATCCTCCAACAGCCAGCCCGTGAGTAAAGTTGTCAATGGAATTAGCCATCAAGTTAAGATAACCAGCCACCTGGAATATAAACAGTAATCATTTAGATAAGTAATATATTAAAGGAGATGATATTATAAAAAACTAGATGTAGCTCGCGACTTCGCCCGCGTGAAACTAAAAAAATATAGCCTATGTTATTCCCAGATAAATTATCTTTCTAGTTCTCTGATACTTTTATAGTCACTATGTTGCCGAGATTATGACAAGGATTATCTGCAGAGAGAATTGAACATTATTTAACAAAAAAAAAAAACAACAAAAACATAGCCTATGTTCCTCACAATTAAATTATCTTTCTAATGGTTAAAGAATTTTTAAAATCGGCCCAGTATTTTTGAGTTATTTCAATACATCATCCACTTGCCCTTATCCCTTACGGAGGGTCGGCACTGTATGTGCTGCTCTTCCATACATTCATATCTATTCTATTATAAAGAGGAAAAAATTGTATTTTTGTTTGTATTAAAATAACTTAACTACTGGAGCGATTTCAAAAATTTTTACATCATTAAAAGGCTATGTTATCACTGAGTAATATAGGCTATATTTTTTAATTACACTCGGGCGAAGACAAGCCAGTAAATCATA